TATTAATAAAAATATCCTCAATTTTTTTAAGAATGAATTGCAAATTAATTCGAGGCCAAACTTTACTGCTCTTTTGATCTTTTTTTTTGGCTTTTTAAATTTGATCCATAGGGTTTAGTAATAAATATTATTTCATTTTAAATTTCTCTTGTTGAAAAATACAAATTTAATTCAAAAATACTTCATTTATCCCAAAGGGAGCTTAAATAAATGAATGCAAAGGGCCAATAGGATCTCTATAGATGTATACAATTAGGGTTGTTTCAATACTCTCCTGAATAATCAAAGATTTTATCCACATTTCACTTCATATTTAGTCTAGAGTTCTCAAAAAACTTCTTATAAAATATATATATAAAATTCTTGGAGCTCTTTTAAATCGAATTATTTCCTTCTTTGCTGGGGGGGTGTTTTAACATTTAAACCAAGCTCCCCTCTAAAAGTTTCCACTTAAAAGACAACTGCTCACTACACTGGAAAAAAATCTAAATCTAGATAAGTAATTTTTTTCTTAAAATAAGTGCATTTGTTCTTGAATTGAGAAATTAAAAGGGAGCTGTTGCCAATGATACAAGACAATTTACATTTAAAATAAGAAAACGCAATTGTATTGTTTTATTTTAAGTGCATTTTATCTAAATATCTTATTTTAAGAGTAAAAATACAAATTTTATCTCATTAACCTACTCAAAATAAGGGTAAATACACTTAATTTAAGAAATTTCTACTTATTTCTAGACCGATTTTCCAGTGTACCATTCCCTCCTACCTGAGTCATCTTTAGCAGATGGCCCTTGCTGGGTTTTTAAATATGTCAAGAGTAAGAAAGTAGTTAATCTTATTAAAGTTGCTAGCAAGTATATGTCATTTTTTATTGAAAGCTCTGTGTTTCCACTTTGAAGCTTTCTCTCTCCAATTCTTTTCACAAAAAGAGGTCACTTGGGATAAACTCCTTAAATAACTCTTCATGATGTATTAAATAACCAGGAGACATGACAACAGATTTGGACACAAATGATAATCTTACTTAGATCAGAGAAGTTGCTTAGAGTTACAGAAGGCAGCGCTTACCAACAGGGCTCACATCTGGTTGGAGTGGCCCTAAATCACAGTAAGAGAAACTTTTTATAGAACTCCAGGCTGCCATGGCTTCAGACATGGCTTCAGCTTTATCAAAATATTACACTTTGTTCTTAGATCGAGGACGCTGCTCTCATTCTATTCCAAACTCTTTGCCACCTACATAATGAAAATGATAACTGTATATCCTGACAGAGGAACTGTCCTAAATAGATACAACTATTGGGAAAAACATTAGTTCTGACTCACAACAGGCATGCATTATCAGGGTTTAACAGACTCACGCATCATCAATAAGGATAATCCTGACTCATTTGATCACTGGTGTTTCCCAACACTTTTACTCATTCTGTTTATTCTGCTAACTTGTGTTTTCCTTGTTCTTACATTTGATTGTATTCCATCCATCCATTTTCTGACAGGGTTAATACCAAGTGGGGTTAAGAGGGTTGCTGGTGTCTCCAGCTGTCTACAGGCAAGAATTTGATTCTATTTTTTTGTGTTTATTTAATAAAAAAAGAAATCCTTAGGAATTTAGATGCCTGATTGTATATTGAGAAATAAAATAGGTAACTTTTAACTAGCTCCACAAGTGGCCTGTTCAGGAAAGACACAGCAAGGCAGACAAGCTATGAGCCAGTTCTGCTAGTCATAGTGAAAGAATCAGGAAACAGGCCAAGATCCAATTTCTATAAACAGAGGTGTTGATGGCAGCAGCACAGCTGATATTTCTCTCCAGGATGGAGTCACAGCTGAANATAATGAAAATGATAACTGTATATCCTGACAGAGGAACTGTCCTAAATAGATACAACTATTGGGAAAAACATTAGTTCTGACTCACAACAGGCATGCATTATCAGGGTTTAACAGACTCACGCATCATCAATAAGGATAATCCTGACTCATTTGATCACTGGTGTTTCCCAACACTTTTACTCATTCTGTTTATTCTGCTAACTTGTGTTTTCCTTGTTCTTACATTTGATTGTATTCCATCCATCCATTTTCTGACAGGGTTAATACCAAGTGGGGTTAAGAGGGTTGCTGGTGTCTCCAGCTGTCTACAGGCAAGAATTTGATTCTATTTTTTTGTGTTTATTTAATAAAAAAAGAAATCCTTAGGAATTTAGATGCCTGATTGTATATTGAGAAATAAAATAGGTAACTTTTAACTAGCTCCACAAGTGGCCTGTTCAGGAAAGACACAGCAAGGCAGACAAGCTATGAGCCAGTTCTACTAGTCATAGTGAAAGAATAAGGAAATAGGCCAAGATCCAATTTCTATAAACAGAGGTG